TGGGGTATTGAGATCCCCGACTACAATTGTATTAGAGCTTATTTGGTTTTTCATGTCCATTAATATTTGTTTTGTATAATTGGGGGCATTCGTATTTGGTGCATATATATTTATGATTGTCAGCTCTTCCTCTTGGAGTGTTCCCTCTCACAAGTATGTGGTGACCATGTTTGTCTCTTAATTAGTTTTGGTTTGAAATCTACTTTGTCTGCAAATAAAATTTCTACCCCTGCTTTTTTCCGGGTTCCTGTGACATGGAGAACTCTTTTCCAACCTTTCATTTTCAGTATATGTGTTTCTTTTTGAGTTAGGTGTGTTTCTTGTATACAGCATATTGTTGGATTTTGCTTCTTAATCTATTCTGTCAGTCTATTTCTTTTGATTGGTGAATTGAGACCATTAACATTGATAATTATAATTGATAGATACTGACTCATCCTTGTCATGATGTTTACTATTGTTGGCTCATTTCTTTTTTTTTTCCCCCCCTTTCCTTTAGTTTCTTACCTTGCCTGGTGGCTTCCCTCTGTTGGGCCTTGTGGAGTTGTGATCTTCATTGTCTTTTTCTAGGATATTGCTTAGGATTGTTTGGAGTGCTGGTTTGGTGTTCATGAAATTTCTCAGGTGTTCTTTGTCGTGAAAGTATCTAATTTCCCCATCGGTTTTGAAAGATAATTTTGCAGGATACAACAGTCTAAGTTGGAAGTTATTTTCTTTTAGGGCTTGAAATACTTGACTCCAGGCTCTCCTTGATTTGTGGGTTTGTGTTAAAAAATCTGCCATGATTCTGATGGGCTTTCCTTTGTAGGTGATTTGTTTCTTTTCTCTAAATGCCTGTAGGAATTTGTTCTTCTGTTGGGTTTCTGGGATCTTGACTATTATATGTCTAGACATAGATTTTTTTGATCATGGCTAGTTGGAGTTGTATATGCCTCACTTATCTGTATGTCCAATTCTCCACCTCTGTCTGGGAAGTTTTCTACTATTACTTCTGTGAACAGTTTTTTTATATCAGTTGTATTTTCTCCTGTTTTTTTGTGGACTCCCATCAGTCTTATGTTATTCTTCCTTGCATCATCTAGCAGCTGCTGGATTGATTTCTCATGGTCCTTTACTGTTTTTAAGAAATCTCTGTTTTCATGGTCCTTAACTGCAATCCTGTTTTCTATATCTGATATTCTATCTTCAGATTCCCTTAATACTTCCAAAACTATTATATAGGTTTAATGGAATGGCGATTGAAATTCCAAGAATATATTTCACAGAACTTGAGAAAACAATCCAAAAATTCATTTGGAACCAGAAGAGACCTAGAATAGCAAAAGAAATTTTAAGCAACAGAGATATGGCTGGGGGTATTACAATCCCCTACTTGAAACTATACTACAAAGC